GGTGAAATACTGAATATGAGGGAGAATAGGGTGACTACTAGGTCTCCGGCTTGGGCAACTGAGTGGCATCATTGAGTGAAGTCTGGAAAAAGGACAGGCTACTGGAGGGAGTGTGTTTAGTTTTAAACATGTTGAGCTTGAGATTGCTGTTGAATATTTCAAAATAGAAATGTCCAATAGGCAAAGTAACAGTACTGATATAAAGCTCTTGGACCTTATGTTCTCAACTGTACTCAGATTATGTCCATTAAAGATTCTCCCTGTTCCTCTTTCTCTTGGTTGTTTCCGAAAGTCATTCATCTTTACCTCTGTTTCAAAGTGATCTCAGACCGGAAGCTTTCCTCATCTAAAATGAAAAGGCAGACTCAGAGCTCCTTGGGTTTAAACCCTCAGAGCCTGTACCTCTTTTTTTTCAAAGTGATTGGAGGGTGGAGGTGCGAAAGTTTCTGGTCCTTGTTTGTCAGAATCTAATTTGAGCTTTTCTGGTTGCATATTTTTATACTAAGAAAAAGGCTTATTCAGATGTATATTGTGCACCCTCAACCTTTTCCTCAGAGGCACAAAAGGAGAAAGGACATAGCCAGATCTGGTGCAATGGGAAAGGGGTAACCCAGCCTCTCAGGAGGGTCGGATTAGGCCCAGACAAAAAGCCCTGGCCTCCAGATCTGCTTTGGCCCCCTGGAGCCTGGCTCATTCCGAGCGGCCAACAGCCTCTTTTGTCAGGGGGGGATCTTACCCCCTCGCTGAACTCTGTTTCATCCCAATGGGCCTACAGCAGCAAACTCTTCTTTTTTTAGTCTTCTCATCCTATGAAATTTGAGCAGTATGTATGGGTAGTGACTCAGGAAGGTGAAACCGACCTGGTCCGGGCCACCCTCCTGCCACTCGCTCCTTCAGTTGGGTTAGGCCGCACGGAGGGCTCGTGCTGTGGAGAACCCGTCTTGAGCTGTTGCAACTTCCTCAGGACCACATTAGCAACCATAAAGAATGTACAAATGCAGAACTCTCATTCAGCTTACTACTCTCTTTCATCAAAGGGGAGTGTGGGTTTTCAGAGAGTTCCCAGCCTCATACTGAAATGTAGATGTTCGTGAGGGCTGCTTTACTGGAGGTGTGCTCCTGACCTGGTGGGGCTGCCCCGTTGTCCTAGGCAGCTCTGTCACAGTAGCTCTGAGCCAAACAGGGACGTTAGGCTAGGACTGCTTCATTAACCCCCCAGGTCTCTAAAAACAAGTCCAGGATTATTGCTTTCATTTGCATTTTCACTCAAATGTTTCACTCATTTATTCATTCAGCAAACTACTATGTAACAGGTACTATACTAAGCAAGCTCGTTGAAAGCAAATGCACGACACTTTGCTCAAGCCCTAATACAGTAAAAGAGAAAGACAGGTAAGATAAATAACTTGGCAGCAGTGGTTCTCAAACTTAAGTATGTGTCAGAATCACTTGGAGGCGGAATTTCTGGTTCAGTGGGTCTGGGGTGAAGCCAGGAATTCGCATTTCTACCAAGTTCCCAGGTAATGCTGACGTCAGCAGGGGTCCCATTCTGAGAACTGACTTACAGGATGGTATACTGTGGGTGCTGCCGTGCAGGTAGGAAGATATGGTTATGGTTTGGGAGCATGGACGAGGAAGGAAATAGATCCACCTATTTCATTTACTTGTTTTCTGTTATTTTACCTGTTTACATTTCCCGGGTCAGATTTTTCTGCACCTTGTTTGTGAGGCCATGAAAGCTCACTGCTGGACTCCATCAGCACTCCGAGGTACTTCGGGCACTGACGTCCATGTCAGTCAGGAGAGCCCGTTTGCTCCATCCCAGTTGTCTCGTTCTTCGTTTCTTCTCTCCGGCTCTGGCTTCTCATTGCTTGCCCTCTCTCTCTCTCAGACAGGTTCCCAAGAGCTGCAGGAATGAGTTCAGACTTCACAGAGATTTTTGAAGAGGCGCTTACTTTTAAACGGATCCCTGTGTGAGAGCAGTTTTCAAACTGTGTTCTCTGGAATCCTGGTGTACCTTGGGGACTATCACAGGGGTTGAGATCCTTCAGCCTTTCTCCCCTCCGCCACCACCAAGTCGACCAAAATAGTTACACTTTTATTAGACAGTTTCTGGGGGAAATTAGTTTGAAAAAAGGGTTCCACTGCTCTTATTTTTAACTTTGAAAATTACTGCTCTGTAACATTTGCTCTCGTTTGAGCCTCCTTTTGCTCCATTTTTTAGTGTGTACGACAGATACTGCAAAGGATTGAGACACATTCAGGTCTAGTTCCTGCGGATATTTTCTAAGTTCCTTTAACAGAAAACAGTGGCATATCTTTAGAATTTTCCATTGGGTACTATTCAATACAAGCATGATTACATGCTAAGTGTCAGTCGCAGAGCTGGCTCAGGGATGCAGACTTGTGTAAGACCCAGATCCTTGTAAATCTGTAATTAGAAATCATCTCCTCCCCCAGTGGTCTGTCACCAGCACAGAACATCTCCATTGACACATTTTGAACTCATCCTCTTCCTAACCAACCCACTGCATGCTGCATGTCTGTTGACATTTACAGTAACTTCTTGTGATTCCTTCATGAGAGGAGAAGGGAGAGATGACGAGATGTCTCAAGAGATTTAGCAAGTTAAGTTCACCCTCATCTCTCTCAGGCCTCTGCTTTCCTACCTGACTGAACTGTTACTCAGCAGCTTTCGGTTTGTTGGAAGCAAATCCCCGATTCTGCCGAGCTAGGTTTTGTACACATGTTAATTAGTGAATTGTCTCTGAGCATCAATATGGACCCAATGGAAAGTAATATTTTAGGATGAAAATATGGAAATGTCTGGAAATCATAACTATATCAGTCAGCTGAAACTCTGGCTCTGCCTTATCTCCATTATTTATCTCTTTAGGATCCGATATCTTAAAAGACGTTTCATTTTTAAAACTTTCTAAAGGAAGCACCCATCTATCAGGTAAACCTCCCCCCGCCCCCCTTAGCCAGTTCCAGTTAGGCATGAGGGCTGCCAGCGAAGCACCTCTCCTCTGATGGCGTTTAGTCTGCTGTCACGGTGGGGCTGGACAAGCGTGAGCTAAGAAATTGTGTGCTGGGTCTTGAGACTCTCTGGACTTTTAAAGACTCAGAATAATTAAAAAAAAAAAAAAAAGATTCAGAATGTCTTAAAATAGCATGGTAGCTGAAACAACAACAACAATAACAGCACGTCATTCTTGAGAATGGTTGCTTAAAACTCGAGGCATTGGTTCTGGCAGCAGTCAGTTTCCACGAGCTGGGCTCCCACAGGAGTTGCTCTAATGGAAATCACATGGTCTCATCACGACAGGAAACGGAGGTCTGCTAAGCATTCTCTCAAGCCCCCTGTAAGGAATTTCCTTATAGAAACTACAGACCCCTAGAACTAGTGGTATAGACCTGATCATTTTCAAGAGGCTTGTTGTGCTACTGTTCTCCTCCCCAAATAATAACTATCAGTTCACTCTTTTGGCCTAGGCTCTTCAGCCTAGAACTGTAAGTGGTCCGTCTTCTCATTTCCACGTCCTGAGGACTTCATTCCTACTGCCTTGTTGAGAGAAAGCATCAGGGAGAGGATGACGGGGAGGCCATCCAGTCATCCAACCACAGTATATCACGCCACGTCGCTGGGATCTCCGAACTGCCCTCATATCATCTTCTTAGAGGCTCTTGCTATGCTGGCTGGCTGTGGGAAGCCTTCACTCACCCCTTCTCCACAGATCCACAGGCATCCCCAGGCTCAGCTGCTTTCTGGTAGCTCCGTAGAGCAGTCACCACATCACACTCAGCAGAGCAGTTTTCTGCTTCTAGCCCCCTTCCCATACTGAAAACCCTGCCCAGAGCCAGAGCTTGGTGGGATGGGAAGGAGGCGGGAGACCTGGAATGAGTGGGCTAGGGTGGCTTCTTCGATAGTGGGAAGGAGTGAGGTGACTCTCTTCCTGGATCACATGCACTGTGGACTTCTGGAAAGTCCTGAATGGCAGTGTCACTAATGGCTTTATCAAGTCACCTTTTCTTGACTTCCTCAGCAGTCCTGGGTAGCATCCTTGACCTATTTGATTTCAGATTTTGACAGGTGATAAAAGCGCATAGTGTGAGATTGCTATTTCACAGGGTCCAGATTCATAACTATTGACTGATGTTATTTTTGCCTTTGCCAAGATGCTCCCTCATGTGTTTGCTGTTACTCTAATGGATTGCTTCCTGATACATTCCGAGGCCCGGACACTTGCCCTTCAATCTGGCAAACTGCAGCTTGACCTGAATGGAATCAGGGCTGTAAGAGGAACATTTAGACCAGGCAGTTGGCGACTTGACTCACTTTTCCCTAGAAGAAAAATATAGTCTATAAATAGCCACTGTGAACGTTCTTATTTACACCTTTGTGGAGCTTAACTTTAATCGGGATACTCAAAGCTTAACATCTTAAATGCCCTGTAGGCACAACGTCTGGCCCTGTGCTTTTGAGGGCTAAATGTAAAATGCTTGGCAATCGTGATTTATTTATCTATTAATTATACTGATAAACAGAAAAGTCCTACAGTTCTTCCGGTCTGTTGGGGTCCTGCCAATGAGCGATTGTTCTCCCAAAGACTCTGCAGTGGGTTTTCATGAACTATCTCCTACCAGTTCTTCTTCTTCCTCTTCCCCTTAGAGGCCCATATTTGCTGTTGTATGCAGGAAATCCCCACTGTTCTTGGTTTCCCCCAGCTACAGCTGGAAAGACATCAGAGTGCCCAAGGCAGCCTGGGCCTGAGATCTCAGCAGGTCAGACAGGCAGCAGATGCTCACTGCTTTTTTCCGTTTTGTGCTTCCCATTCCCTTGCTTAGAGTTTGGGGGACCAAAGCCAACAGGTTATTAAAAGAATGAGAGTAATTTGACTTCTGACATTGATTGGGGCTCGGGGTTATGGGTGTTTTGTTTCTGATTTGAAACCAGCTGTTTGGTAACCACTAACTCTTCCCTTATTCTTTTCTTGCAGATGAGCTCACAGTGCCTGCACTTTACCCCAGTAGCCCTGAAGTGTGGGCCCCGTACCCTCTGTACCCAGCGGAGTTAGCGCCTGCTCTACCTCCTCCTGCTTTCACCTATCCCGCTTCACTGCATGCCCAGGTAATTTATACCCATCGGCCACGACTTCACTCACTCCACCACCAGTCCTTTCAAACCTGGTTCCCCAGAGCACACCATACAACTAACACCTATCCAGCTAACAGGTCCACCTTCAAGAGATTACTGATCCCCTCTAAATCAAGCTGACACTCCTCCAGGACTTATGACGACCATCTGACAGCAATGATATCACCCACTGCCTGATGTTTGCCCCAAACGACACCTCTCTCTTCCTTAATGATCTCACCCTCATATCACACACCAGAGCCTGGGCCCAGGTTACCTCCCCAGCTCCCAGCCAGCCTGAGGGCAGCACTAGAGCGTAGATGTGTGTGTGCCTTGTTATGTGGAAGGGCTACAGAGGGAAGTGTGCACTTGTCACAGGAGTTGTTTGTGTATGTTTCTGCGTATTGAGAGATTTTTGGGGCCGTGTTCTGTGAGATCTAGTCACCAAAGGGGAAGGTTGGGAGCTTCCGGGAGGAAGACTGTGCTATCTTACATATGTTACAGAAAAGATTAGGGTTCCTTTTCCATTTTCAGGAAACCCTGACAAAAAGGAGGTACAATATAACGTCTAAAATGTAATTATAGGTCAGAGTAGAGGCCTTGTTCTGACCAGCTTTTTTTTTTTTTAAGAATAGCCTGAGTTTTATAAACAAACTCCTTTGTTTCTTCACAAAGATGGCTGTCTGCTTACCAACCTTTTCTCTTAACTTAGCTTTTATTGCAAGTTGTAGTAATCAGTGTTAGGATTCAGAGTGATGATTAATAGCAAATCAGTTGGGTATAGATTTCATTTGTCTTACTGAATGTATAACTCCTCTACATTAAAGCAGGAAAGCCTGGTTTTAAAAAAATTGTCGGCCTACTCAGGTGAGGATTTTGTTTGTTTTGCTTAGTGTTTCTTTACAAGACCATATGAAACAAACAGCTTCCCAGAAAACTCTTCTTTCTGACTTAAAACGCTTTCACATTGTACTAACTTATTGTGTCATGTAAGACACCTACAAGCAGTCCCCAGTGACGGTTCTCACAGGCCACAGGCCAGGAGTGGTGTTGGCCAAACACCCTTCCGTTCCCTTTCAGCTGAGTTATCCATGCTTCATACATGCACTGATGACCTGGTTTCCCGGACACCGTGCAGGCAAACTACAGAGACAGCCTCGGTGCCTGGGCTCCAGACCAGAAGCGATTGCTCTCTGTGTTCGGAGGAGTTGGCAGAAAGTGGCATAAGTAGTGAAGAAAAATGTAGATGGTGGTGGTGGAATACTTGGTACAGAAAATCAAGTAACAGGATTATTCTCAGCTTGATTACCCATTTCTAGATTAGCTATGTCTTGCTTTTTTTTGCCTCTGCTTTTTCTACCTTTTGTCTATGTCAGTGCTTGATCACCCTCATAATGGCCAGAGGAGGAAGAAGGGATAATATGTGAGCCTTTGCATGTCTTCTGCTGAGTCAGCAGCCTGCTTTTAGTGGGCCTCGGGGATAACTTTGTAGATGACGTGGAGTAACTCAAAGAGCCTCCTCCGATTGTGCCCTACTCACCCCATCCCTACCGTCTGTGGCTGTGTCTCCTCTCCTCTTCTTCCTCTTGCTAGATCGCCTAGATACTAATCAATTGACAATTGAGGCAAATGCCAAATTCACATAGTCTTTTGAATATCCATGGCTTTGGTTAATTAGCAAGAAAGCTTCTCACCATTACTTTGGAAAAGTAAGAATTGACAATGGCAAGAAAGGACTGGGGATGGTGGCTTTTGGCCAAGACATCTGGGTAATTTGCCCTTGGTCCATTCACAGAACAGATGAAATCAAAAGTAATATCTGGGGATATGGTGGGAAAAGTAGCTAAAGAGTCTTAAGAGATTAGAAAGCCCATGCCATCGTGAGAATGGATGGTGAGAGACAGTGCCAAGATTAGGTGGACTCAACCATTTGACTTAATGGGATATATTTCCCAGGGTGACACCCTCCCCTGTGAGTTCTTCCTTGATCTGGACACTTTCTCAAGCTGGAATCCACTTGGCTCTGCCGCATCTGTCCTAGAGTTGGTGGAATTCTCACCTGGTCTAAGTGAGGTCCTTGTGCTCAACCCCACTTTCTTGTTTCGAGTCATTCCCAGTGCAAGCGTGGGTTCTGTATCCTAAAGACTCATGAATACATATGGCTATTTAAATTTCTTTGTCCACTATGAGACTCAGAATGAACCGGCAGAGGCTTGACAGATCACCTGGTCTGACCCATTTTACAGATGAGGAAACAGACCGGAGAAGATGGAGAGAGTTACCCAAAGTCGCAAGTGGCTCTGCCATGATTAGAGCCAGGTCACCTGACTCCCAGGCCTTGCTCTTTCCACACCTCAGTGCTGGCTCACCAAAGACTTATTCTTTGATGGAATTTTGAAAAGGCCTCACTCCAGTGACTCCTGGGATCTTTCTTCTCTAAGTAGATGAGAAGCCTGTAAGAAGAGACTTGGAGGCAAAGACGAGGGAATCAGAACTTAACCTTCACCAAAAGGTCCTAAGAGAATTGTTATTAACTGGAGGTAGAACGGTGGGGAAGACCAAAACGGAGCATCCCCTTAGTCCATAATTCCGTTTTTGTTCTGGAAATCTTGCTATGTGTCTTGGAGAAGTTTTTAAGTTATTTTGCTTTCCAGCAATGTTGTGCTCTGTTTTGAGACATGGATTTTTTTTTTCTTCTAGTGTTTCTCTCCTGAGGCAAAGCCCAACACACCTGTCTTTTGTCCACTTCTCCAGCAAATTAGATTTGTCTCTGGGAATATGTTTGTAACGTATCAACCTTCTGCAGACCAGCAAAGGGAGCTCCCAGGTTGAATTTGCTTGTTAGCTTCTTTGATCCCCCTTTTGCAAAAACTATTTCTTGGTAACATTTGAGAGAATTCAATAAAAATTTTAATCAGAGCAAAAATGATCTCAAGTAGACTGCAGCGTTTTGTTTTCATGATGATGTGATTTCGGAGCTAAGATGTTATCTCTGGCTGAGCTTTTTGGGAGAGTTGGGCCCGATGACACTAAGTATACAATCTGTGGGAGGACTCGCAGCATCTGGGGGAGACTCAGCCCACAGCCATGGCCTCAGCACTGCTGTCTGTATCTTCTTGGGCTCCTAAACTATCAAGAGCTGCGTATCGGAAGATTCTCATTCTGGCTCC